TATTTTCTTTTGATTATATACCCAGTAATTGGATTGCTGGGTCAAATGGTAGCTCTATTTCTTTGAGAAACCTCCAACTGCTTTTTATGGTGGATGAACTAATTTACATTCCCACCAACAATGTTTAAGTCTTCCTGTTTCTCCACAGCATTGACAGCATCTGTTATTTTTAAATTTTTAATAGCCATTCTGATTAGTATGAGATGGTATCTAATTATGGTTTTGATTTGCATTTCTCTGATGTTAGCAATGATGAGCCTTTTTTCATATGTTTCTTGGCTGCTTGTATGTCTTTTTTTTTTAATTTAATTATGTTTTTTCGAGACAGGGTCTCTCTGTTGCCCAGCCTGGAGTGCAGCAGCATGCTCATGGCTCACTGGATCCTTGACCTCCCAGGCTCAAGCAATCCCCCCGCCTCAGCCTTTCGAGTAGTTGGGACCACAGGCAGGTGCCACTACACTCAGCTAATATTTTAGAAGTTTTTTGTAGAGATGTGGTCTCAAACAGCTTGAGCCCATGCTGGTCTCAAACTCCTGGGCTCAAGCTGTCCTTCCTCCTCAGCCTCCCAATGTGTTGGGACTATGGGCATGAGCCACCACAGCCAGCCTATGTCTTCTTTTAAGAAGTGTCTGTTCATGTCCTTCACCCATAGCTTCTGCACAGCAAAAGAAACTATCAACAGAGGAAACATACAGCCTACAGAATGGGAGAAAATATTCGCAAACTGTGCACCCAACAATGGTCTAATATCCAGAATCCTATAGGAAGTTGTTATTGTATGAATCTAAACAATCTAAACAAATCTAAATAAATCAACAAGTAAATTTAAGTAACTGGAAAATAGTCTGGGATTCAAAATAACTCTAAACAGTTCCTTTTGTCATTCTATTTGGAAACAATCAGAAATCTTTGTCATGCCATAGCAATTTTTATATAGAAATAGAAACTTTCAACTCCCTCCCAAAAATGTAGTCACATCTTGATTACCTATAGTGGTGAGGAATGAGGTTAGAAATGGGAAGAAGGAAATAGCGATATGGATAATTACAGTGGGAGTAGTATTTGCAGCTCCTGCTTTCTGCTATGAAAAAATAGCACTGGAAGCTGTATGGGATCCCCAAAGTACTCTTAGGTTCAGCGGTTTGCTAGAATGACTCATGGGACCCAGAAAAGCTATTTTGCTCATGGTCACAGTTTATGACAGTGAAAGGATACAGATTAAAATCAACAAAGGAAAAGGGCACATAGAGTGGTGTCCAGGAGAAATCAGGTACGAGCTTCCAGTTGTCTTTTTGCAGTGGAGTTCCACAGGGATACACTTAATCATCAGTGTATGAAATATTGCTGACAAATAAGCTTATTCAAGCCTTGGTATCCAGGATTTTTATTAGAGGTCAGTCATGTAGGCCTGAGATATCCACCTGACTGATCTTAGTCAGTCTCCAGCCTACCCAGAGATCAAACTGATACATTTGGCCTAGGGCCTCAGGTGAACAGAAAAATAGGCATTCACCGTAAATCATACCATTAGCATAAACTATGTGGTATAGCCCAAGTTCTCAGATATATTAATACACAGGCAGTCTTAACAGTCATATATTTGGGGCATCAGAGGCTGTCTCCTAAGAGCCAGTGAAGGACCAGTTCTTTCTTTGGAATTGCAGGATCTGAGCACCCCAAGTCTGCTGAGTTAACCCTTTGCTGAACAGGAATTTAGGGACCTTGGAATCAAGAAGGTTTGGGGGAAGTGAGTGAGGAGTGTGCTGAGGTGGGTGGCTGTAACCAGAGGCTCTCCTAGAAGTAAAGGAGTAAAGTAGCCTAAAAACACGAAGCATTCCATATTGGAGGCTATCCATGTATACACAATTGTAAGTTTCTTTAACAACCAATTTGAATTCACAGGTGTTTGTTATTGGCTAGTCTCTGCATAGTTAAAATTTTTAAATGGTTCTGGCTAAATGCATGGAAAAAGAAGTGGGCTATTTTCCATATGGTTGTGGTGAGATGTTTTCAAAGGCATCTTGGCTTTTCTGTAGACCTCTTAGCTTTTCTGTAGACCTCTTGTTCATATTAATCACCAAGGAAGGCTGAATCCTGTCTACAGAACTTGGTCTTAACAGGACTAGTTGGTAAGTAGGTTGCCTGTAACTACTTTGCGGTCTCTTTCTCTAAGAGATTTTGTCCTTTTTGCCAATATTTTTCTTCCCTAGGAAAGTTGTTTGTCTGAGTAATGATCAAATTAAAGAGCTTCAGATGGCAAGGATGCATCCAGGGAGCTCTATAGCATTCATTCATATAATAACAACTTCCAAAATGAATGTGGTTTTCAGGGTAAATGAGTAGGTTCAAACCATAGTTTTCCAGGACTATAGACCTTTTCTAAGCAATAATAGGACTGTTTTATGTGGCAACCCAATGCTTGTAGGGTGGCTTGCTTTAACTTATTAAAGGGACACTGTAGGTATAGATCTGTTAGCATTTATTTTTGTTCTTACTCAGTTCTTTTGTTTTTCTTGAGGTTTACCTCTGTTACTCTGTGCCCAGAGGAGAACTACCATTTTGGACTTGGGCTCTGCTCTTCTCTCCCTGCTTCCTCAGCTACAGAATGCCCTATGTGCAACTGGTTATACCATCTTAAGATTACCATCCAGCTCTCTGTCCTGCTTGGGCAGTTTTGCATAACATCATCTTGCATGACAAGACCTTTGTCCTTGATACAGATCTTTGTCCTTCAGTTCATGCAGAAAGGCCGCTGTATTACTTAGAATCTAAGGTAACTTAAATTATCATTTAGATAGTGGAATACATTTCTTCCTCTCCCTTTTTTTTTTTTTTTTTTTTTGATCTGCTTTTATTTTTCTAGTTTCCAGCCATGTGGTTGATATTTAAATAGAACCATTTTGGCTTCTGAGTTGATTCACATTTATGCAGTGAACCCACAGATGAAACCTGGCATTCATGGTTAAAAAATATAAATCCAAACTAACCTTTATACCTTTTCAGAAGAAAACCCTCAGTCAAATATTTTTTAGCCTTAAGTAAGTATTCATTGTGACTTTTCAGAAGTGTTTTTAATGTCAGATATTCATCTTAATTGTCATCTTTAATTTCTCAGATGCTTTCACATTATTTTTTCTCTTTGCCCCTGTAATCTGAAACATTGCTAAAATTATATTCTTACCTATTTGGGGTATATAGAATGAAAGTCTTAATATTGTATACAGTCCCCAATACTTTATTTTTCTTCTTACTATGATTAACATCTCAAACATCTCTTATTTGGATCTCTTTGTGGAGTTTCTGCCGAGGCATCCAATCAACTAGACCACCTACAATCAAGGATCAGATTTGTGAGTCAAAGTGAGAACTAAAGGAGAAGAAAGTGAGAACTGAAAGGTGGTGATAGGAAAATCTAAAGTTTAGTATAAGTGGAATAGACTTATATAATCCATGTACGTTGGCAAATACAATATGCAGATATGCCTTTCTGAGATTTTATATGCCTGGATGTGTTTTGCAGAAGATCCAAGCAGGGCCAATGTATCTTAGATATTAAACTTGCAGCACCACTCAGCCACACACCCAGTCTCTTTTACTCTGTTCTTTTTTTTTCCCATTACCCTTATTGGTGCAGGACTTTTTACTTCTTAGCTCAGCTAGATCTGGGTTTTTGTCTCACGACCAGGAAAAAGTAGTCACATGGACACTCAAAGAGTGAGCAAGTCAGGAAGTTTTATTGAGTGATGAAACAGCTTTTAGTGAAGAGGGATGTGGGGGGTGGTCTCCCTACAGAAGAGTTCCCAATATGGCTGAGGCCCGGGCTTTTTATGGGCTCAAGATAGGGAGTACTTGCTGATTGGCTTGTGAGTACACAAAAAAGGTTAAAGTGGAGACATCACTCAAAACTGGTACCTATTTTACATATACCTACCCTTTCCTAAGTGGTTTTCTACACGATAGTGTATATGTGAAATAGGTGAAGGATGGGGATCAATCGAAAGCACACCAAACGGGAAGGCAGGTTTTCAGTCTGGTTTGAGGATTTACCAGGGACTGTTTCCAGCTTGAAGGTTGTATTTCACTGGGGACCAACCCCATCTGCCTAGGCATTTATCTGCCTCCTGCCTCTAACATTATCACCTGAGTAATGTACTGTAGTGTTCTTCTTTTTTAAACATTTTCATTATATTTGTGATCTCTCTTACCCACTAGAATGTAATTTCTTGAATTCCTGGACCCAAGCTATCTGCCTGCCTTAGCCTCTCAAAGTGCTTGGATTACAGGTGTGAGCTACTGTGCCAGGCCTACAATGTAATTTCTATGCAGACAGAGATTTGGGGGTCTAGTTTATTTGCTGATGCTTTCTCATGGCTTGGAATAAGCCAGGCTCTTGGCAGGTTTTCAGTGAATATTTGTTAAATGAATGAATCAAGAAGCCCTTTCCGAGTGTACTCTCCTACCTATATCTAGACTCTAATACTTTTTTATTTTGTATGATTCCATCATTTGGGGCTTTAGAGTTCTTTTTTTCGCCCCCCTTTCCATTGTGTATATGTTTTTTTTTTTTCACTTAAGTTTAATTTTTTTCCCAGAATACATTATTATACCAGGCCATCCAGTCTGGGTCTTATTTCACCACTCACCTTCCTTAATTTATACTGTTTGTTTAAAATATGAAAAATTGTGGGATGGAAACTTTCTGTTTCCGTACTCATATAAACACTTTGCATATTGTCATTGCTCTACGAACCATGTACATTACTTTACATGATAGCAATATTCTGAGAATTTCTTATATTTGTATGTTCCTCAAAGATAACCTCATGTGGTGAAATAGACTTCAGACTTTATAATCATTAAATACATTAAACCTTGCTGTTTAATATTTTTCTTTTTGAAGTATTTTAGGAATCTACATAATATTAAGGTAAAATTCTAGGTTTAATGCTGTGATAACCGAAGTACATGCACAATTTTAATATTTTATCCTTTGAATTTAGGCACAAGTTATGGAAGAGAAATTAAAAGCAGCTAATATTCAAACCAGTGAATCAGAGACAAGGTTATATAAAAAGTGTCAAGATCTGGAGTCACTAATACAGGAAAAGGATGACATCATTCAAAACTTGGAATTGCAACTTGAAGAGCAGGTTAGGAAGAATTTGATAATTTAAGAGTTCCAAGTGTGTGCTCTCATTTGTGCATAGTCACAAAAGTTAAAAAGAGAGAGCCTAAATTTCTATATTTGGGGAAGAAACCTTGCTTATTTGGTCAGCCCATAGGATTGCATCACATTTATTGGTGAAAGGTGCAAGCAAAATGGCATACCTTTAAGTTCCGAGTGATTCCAAGGCAAGATCTAACTCGTTTTGGATGTGAAAATGCTCCTTAATATTGAAACATTTGAGTGAGTGAGTTTGTTTGTTTGTTTGTTTGTTTATTTAAGACAGAGTCTTGCTCTCACCCAGGCTGGAGTGCAGTGGCATGATCTTGGCTTACTGCAACCTCCGCCCCTCAGGTTCAAGTGATTCTCATGCCTCAGCCTCCCCAGTAGCTAGGACTACAGGCATATGCCAACATGCCCAGCTAATTTTTGTATATGTTTTTTAGTAGAGACAGGGTTTTGCCATGTTGACTAGGCCGGTCTCGAACTCTCGGCCTCCCAACCTGCTGGGATCACAGGCATGAGCTACTGTGCCTGACCAAACTTTAGAGTTTAAATGTAGTATTTAAGTTGGGAACATTTGGTTATCAGCAGGTATTTATGTCCGTAAATTGTTTGCAAACAATATTTGCTTCAGATTGTTGGAGTGTTGGGAATGTTTATAGGACATTGCATTTTAAATATTTATATTTGATGCAAATCCTTCTGCTTAGAAATGTATACACTGTTTTTGAACCACTTTATTGGAATCAAGTAATTAAAAAAATGTTTTAGGAAAAAATTGCGTTGGGGTGATGTACTTAATGGTCACTCACCATCATTTAAACATGACCACTGTGCAATCGTTTTGTTAAATGTGTTATGTTGTTTATTTTCAGCATTTTTTTCCATATCTTGATAAAGATCAGTGTTTCTTTAGATCAGTGGTTTTCAGCCTTCTACCACCCCTAGACCCTGCCTATTGTGATTTATTTTTTAATTACATTCTCAATAGTTTTGTGACCATAACCAGATTTTAAGGCTGGTAAATGAGAGCTAGAGTTTCTCTATGTGTGTTTTTCTTGGATCTTTGAAAGTTAGTATTCGAGAGGGAAAAAAAAATGCCATGCCCCTAAGGAGGTTCTTATTTTCTTCTCCCCAACATGGTTGACCCCTGTGCTACTGTCCTAAATCCTAGACCATTTCCAGAAATGGCTTATTTTGTTGATAAATTCAGTAAATTGACTCTAGTGTATGATGTTTCAGAGAAAGAGAATAGCAGTTGTTAAAACTAGTAATACGTGCGTATGCCCTTATGGTTTTTTATTGAATCTACTGAATAATTTTTTTCTTTTAAAAATCTATTTGGTAATTTGAAGATAGATATAGTAACTTGGATACAAGTTTTAAGTGGATTTGCCTTGTATATTTGTGGTATAACATTTCCAGACCACTGAGTTTGTTTTTGAACTAAACAAATTGCTATTGTTATTTCAGAAACAAATAAGAATACAAGAAGCTAAAATAATAGAAGAGAAAGCAGCTAAGATCAAAGAATGGGTAACAGTTAAGTTAAACGAGGTATTTATTGCTATATGTTTTCCTTTTCCTTTACCTTTTACCTCTTTTGAATTGACACATCATCAGAATATATGATTACTCTGAGTAAAACAAAGTTTGATCAGTTGATATTGCTATCTTTTGATAAACTTGAGATATAGGTAGCTTTCATTTTAATATCTAACGTATTTTTAAAATTAAACATATTAATAGACTCATGATGATCAGTGTAAATAACTTTATTCTAATAAGTTTAGTTCTAATTAATTTCAAATAATAATAACAGGATATATGTATATATTTCATAAAATTAATGTATTTGGTACCTGAGAGGCACACATTTTAGTTTTTATGGCAGTTTAAAGCTGAAATAGTTTCCTTTAAACTAATTTTACAGTGGAAAAGGCATAAGGGATGAAAACATTTAAAATTCTTAGTTCTGAAAAATGTAAATATTGATGCCATAATTACCTAGGTTGATAGCCTATTCTGATAAATAAATCTGATATTTGTTTATCATTTCCTTTGTATTTTGCTTACACGTATAGATAAACTAGATATTAACATTTTTTAATATTATAATTTATTATTACATTTTTGTAATGTTATCTCTATGTGAAAAGAATACCATTATGTTCTTTTAGCTAGAACTGGAGAATCAGAATCTTCGTTTGATCAACCAAAACCAAACTGAAGAGATAAGAACAATGCAGTCAAAACTACAAGGTACAAATACTTTGACTAAGATAGATTTGTTGGATTTATTTGACTGTATTGGCTTTGACTTTTTTGATGTTTTAAAGATGCAATTATCAATGTCATCCAAGAAGCTGTTGTCATAAAATGAAAGATAATTTCTAAGCAAACAAACCGGAACTCCTGCACCCAAGTGAATGTTGGGCCTGAAAGTGGAGGGCAAAAAGAGAAGAGAAAGCAGCTAAGATGATGGTCTACCAAAGTGGTCACTACATAGATCAGAAAAACATGACCACATACTAATTTTTCCCCTCTGTATTCTAAAAGACCTTCCATTGGTACAATTTGTAGAACCATACTAAGTTCCAGAGAGTCCAACTTGCTAAAAGTACTGCACAGTGACATTAGCCTGGGAGGTTAGATATCATGGATGATGGGTAGCAATCTCTAATGGTGAGGACATTTTGTTCCTTCTAAGTGATATAGTGCTGTATCTCCCTGTTTTCTTGAAAGAATACAGGGAACTTGACCACACAAGAGAGTGAGTTAGAAGTAGTTGTATCAGAGAGACATGTACTCCAAAAGTCCAAGAAGGCTTTGAATTTTTAGAGAATAGTCCTTTTAGTGGAGATTAGGGAGTCACAGATAGCATACATTTGTAGCTGCATTGAAGACATTGGAGGAGGCTTCTTGGCATCACACATGCCAAACAAATTGAACTTGGCATTATTTGAGGGCAGCTCTGAGGCACTTCTGTGTGTTTTTAGATGCCTGAGCTGGTAGTTACTTGGATGCAAGTGTCACAACTCAGTTAATTCATGGATCACCAGTGTTCTAATCCTTTCAGCATTTGGGTCTTCTAGATGAGGGTTTGAATCCTGTCAATTGGGAGAATATATTGATAATCTACTGATAAACTCAAGAATATCAGGGGTGACATTGGTCTATTTGAAAAAAACGTACCTCCAAAATTATTTATAACTTTTGGCTGTCTGCAGTTATTAAATTCAAAGGAATATTTGCTACTCTCAAGATAATTTACAATAATATTTTACAAGCTCTGAAGTCACTTTTTATAATGTGAAAATTGATAATATTAGATTGTAAACTTAGTCTTCAAACTATAGATCAGCTTGTGTGTGTGTGTGTGTGTGTGTGTGTGTGTGTGTGTGTGTGTGTGTGTAGACAAAGTCTCACTCTGTCACCCAGGCTGGAGTTCAGTGGTGCAATCACAGCTCACTATATCCTCAACCTCCTGGGCTCAGTGATCCTCCCACATCAGCCTCTTGAGTAGCTGGAACCACAGGTCCATACTACCATGGCTAGCTAAGTTTTGCATTTTTTATTTTTTGAGATGGGTTTCACCATGTTGCCCAGGCTGGTCTCAAACTCCTGGGCTCAAGTGGTCCTCCCACCTCAGCCTCTCTAAATGCTGGGATTACAGGCATGAGTCACCATACCCAGCCAGAGCAGCACTTTTTAACATAACTTCCTGTGATGAGGGAAATATACTATATCTGTGCTGTCTAATATGATGGCCACTAGCCATATAGTGGCTATTGAGCATTTGAAATATGACTAGTGCGACTAAGGAATTGAATTTTAAACTATATTTAATTTCAATTTGTTTAAATTTAAAGAGCCATATGTTGCTAGTGGCTCTCATAGTGGACAGCAAAGCTAGATGTTAATTAATAACCAGAAGAAGATGATTCTAATTTGAATGTTTAATTTCAGGTATATTTGCTTAAAAAAAGGAAGTCAGTCATGCTATTTTCTACTTTTGCTTGGTATCATGGTTTTCAACAGTGATTGAAATTCTTACAGCCTGAATATTTTGAACAGAATTTTGTGCTATGAATAAATTCTGCATTTTCCAATATACAGGGCTACTTTCTTTCTTTCCAAGTTCAAAGCCTGAGGGTGAATAGTATGTCATTTGATAGAGATTCACTTAGTATACTATTCTGGTGATAGCAGCTCAAGTATGCATTGAGTTGAAGAAGGGATGAATCCATTCAAAATTGAGGTTATATGTGTAGCCCACAGCCTGGTATAGAAGTTTTCAAATTTTCATTTAGTACCAGAACCCTTTTCAAAAAAATAAAATTTTCTATAGAATCTCAATAAATAAGATAGGTAAAAGCAGTGTTGGGTGATGGGTTTAGCATTCAGCATACTTGGACTTACCCATACCTCTTCTTGAACCCTCTGGGACATTTCCACAAAGCCTAGGAGTTTCACAGAATACATGGGAAAAATATTGGCATGGTATGAAAACCATGAGCTTTGAAGTCAACTTTATTGCTCTAGTATTTTATAATTGTGTTATATCTCCAGAAAAAAAAAATTTTTAAGAGAGGGTCTCACTTTGTTGCCCAGGCTGAAGTACAGTGGCATGATCATAGCTCACTGCAGCCTGGACCATCTGGGCTCAAGTGATTCCCCCTCCTCACCCTCTCGAATAGCTGGAACTATGGGTGCACATTGCCACACCCAACTAATTTCTTAATTTTTATTTTGTAGAGATGGGGATCTTGCTGTGTTGCCCAGAGTGGTCTTGAATTCCCGGGCTCAAGCAATCCTCCCTCCTCAGCCTCCCAAAGTGCTGGGATTGCAGGTTTGAGTCACCATGCCCAGCCCAGAATTTTTTTTTTTTTTTTTTGCATCAGTAAAATCATGATTATAGTAGTTCCTTACTGGTTTCATGGAGGATTATATAGAATTAATTATAAGGCATATGAAAACATTTTTGTATAAAATTGTTGATTATAGGGCATATGAAAACATTTTGTCTACTGCATGTTAATATTAATTGCTATCATTTTCTCCACATATTAGAGATTCTCCCATAGTTGATCTAGAATTCTATATTTTGAATTAAAGTTTCAGGTCTTTGTGACAATCACCTTTGTTGAAATAGTTTAGATATACTAAGCCCAGTCTCAAAAGCTTGTTATTTTCTCCAATATTCTTAGCTTGCAATTCTGGTCTTCACTAGCAGCCTCTTAGGTCTTGTAGACTAAGAGATATTGATCCTTGGAAATTAAGCTTGGATTGGAGAAGAATAGATATAATACTTAAAAAATATATGTGCATATGTATATAATTTTTACCATGCATATATATATATAATTGAATTTGTTCTGTAAGTGACATTCAACATGGAAACATTAAAAGATACATCTTTAGGAATATACTATATAAAATATTTTCTTATACTCAGTTATCACTTGCTATTTGACTTAACCCTTTAGTGTTCTGCTAGCATTAAGAATTATATTTCCTTGGAAGCTTTTCTTACTGAGACCACCATGCTTTTGATTTTATAAGCAGCAATGTTAAATGTCCTAGAGATGGACCAGGTGCAATGGCTCACTCCTGTAATCCCAGCATTTTGGGAGGCCAAGGTGAGAGGACTGCTTGAGGCCAGGACTTTGAGACCAGCCTGGACAATATAGTGAGACCCCATCACTAAAAAAAAAAAAAAAAATTTTTTTTAAATTAGCTGGCCATGGTGGCACACATCTATACTCTCTGCTGCCTGGGGGCTGGTTCGAGAGGTGAGGTGGGAGGATCACTTGAGCCTGGGAATTTGGGGCGGCAGTGAGCCATGATCATGCCACTGTACTTCAGCCTGGGCAACAAAGTGAGACCGTGTCTCTAAAAAAAAAAAAAAAAGGCCTAGAGAGATGAATTAAATTCGTGACTAGGTGCTGACCTATTCACTTCACTAGCTGTCTAAATTCTTTATCCATCTTCTTTTTTTTCTCTCTAAAGAAGTGATTGAAGCTCTTTATATTGTGGTTACCATTGACCAAACCTCCCCATCTGTTTTTTCTCATTACTGAAAACTAAGTAAGCAAAAGTCATTACAGTTATCATGAGATGGTTGCCCCAAGGATGATCCAAATTTCCTTTGGTTGTTTTGGCAACCGGGACCTCAGTTTCTTTTCCTTCACAGTGGCACATTGAGCAAATTTTACCAGCGCTGAACTGGTATTTGTCAATACTTGACTTTGCAGGAAGCTAGAGCTCTCTAGTTATTTATAATCGTTTATGTTTTTGTCTTTGCTTAGAGCTAACTACTCTTAAAGGGATTAGATATTTTTCTCTCTCCAGTCAAAACATTTTGAACATTTAAAATATGTAAAACAGAATTTAAACATTGGCATATGGTGCTTGTCATTGAAAGTTCCATGTTATTGTACATCAGTAAAGATGACCGTTAGGCTTTTTTTCGGGCATAAAGAGTGATTTGTTCAAGTTTTTATATGCATTGGTTCTATGTTTAACAAACTTCTATAAAAAATTCAAATCTTAATTTTGATTAACCACACTGTAGAAGTTCAAGGAAAGAAGTCATCCACTGTCTCCGCACTAAAGCTTCCAGAAGGCCAGCGCCTGAGCAGTTTGACCTTTGGGTGCTTTTTATCTCGAGCAAGGAGTCCTCCTCAAGTAGTAAAATCCGAGGAAATAAGCAAGATATCATTGAAAGAACCTGAGTTCACTGAAGGAAAAGACATAGAAGGTATTTATGGACTACAGGAATTGACTTTGGCATTTTTCAAAAAGGAAAAATTATTTGCTAAGATTAATCCAAATATAGCTTAATTTTTATTATTTTTTCTGACAATTTGGTGTTTTATGAGAATTCTAAAGAGCAAGACAACATTTAACTTTGTGTATCTAATTATTTTGTGTCTTCTGAGAGTCTTTGCCAGTGATGCATATGAGAAACTGATTTTTCTTCTTAATATTTTTTTTGCTGCTGTAGGTGAAAGAGCCTTTGCCAATGACGCATAGGAGAAACTGATTTTTCTTCTTCATATTTTTTTCCTGCTGTAGGTGGAAGGGTATTTAAAATTAAAAAGTTATAGTCCCACCTACAAGATGCTGTACTTGGTTTAGCTGAGTTTCAGATTAAAAGTTTGAATTTCCTATTCATTATTTATTTAAAATATAAAACATTACCTAATATTACACATGAAATTAAAGATTGGCATAGCAAACTTCTAGAGAAAAAAAACCCTGGAGGATAAATTAATAACTGCTTTGATTTTCCTTTAATGCTTCAAAAAGGAAAGTGTGTTCCTAGATATTTAAACCCTGGTCCCATGTACAGACTTCTACTCTTCTTCTAGTCTTGAAGCGCTTCTATCAAAACAAACAAACAAACAAACAAACAAAACCTCTGAATTTTGCTTTCTTGCAGCTGTTGGCTTTGCCACCTCTAGCGCAATCTCTTTTGTTGACTTTCCCCAAATATTTTAGAGAGGCCTGAGTTTTCATCCTCTCTACTTTCAGCTCCAACTTCCTTCCCCCAGAGGAGAAAAAAAATAACAGTAAAAATTGTGTATCCTTGGTTATGAAATTCTGAAAATGATATCTTTTCCAATCAGAAGGCTCCTTTGCACCTTGTTTTCATGCCATTACTTGCTTTTCTTTTTCCTCCCTCCTCCCTGTCTTCCTTCCTTCCTTCCCATTTTCCCTTTCTTTCCTCCCTTTCCTTCCTCCTTTCCCCTTCCCTTCCCTCCCCTTCCCATTCCCTTCCCCATCCCTTCCCCTTACCTTCCGCTTCCCTTCCCCTTCCCTTCCCCTTACCCTCCCTTCTTCCCTTCCCTTTCCTTCCCTTTCTCTTCCCTTTCCCTTCCCTTCCCTTCCCTTCCCATCTGTCTATCTTCTATCTATCTATCTATCTGTCTGTCTGTTTGTCTTGTCTTGTCTTGTCTTGTCTTGTCTTGTCTTGTCTTGTCTTGTCTTGTCTTGTCTTGTCATTTTGTCTTATCTTGCATCTCACTCTGTATGCCAGGCTGGAGTTCAGTGGCACAATCACAGCTGACTGCAGCCTTGACCTCCCGGCCTGAAGTGATCCTCCCACCTCAGCATCCCTAGTAGCCAGGACTACAGACACATGCCACCATGCCCAGTTAATTTTTGTATTTTCTGTAGACATGGGGTTTCACCGTGTTGCCTAGGCTGGCCTTGAACTCCTGGGCTCAAACAGTCCATCAGCCTTGGCCTCCCAAAGTGCTGGGATTTACAGGTGTGAAGGCCGCTGCACGCAATCTACTTGCACTTTTTTTTTCCCTTTTAAGAAGACATTTTCATTTCCTTCCCTTTTTTTAACAGTCGAGTACTGCTGAGGTTGCCTATACTGATGCCCTTGCTCATTTGCAAATTTAGCAAACTGACTAATACCAAATTTTAGAGTTTGTTTATTCAGCCTCTAGTTCCTTAATGATGAAGGTCCTATCTATGTTTTTATGTTTTCAAAGCTTTTTTTTCTACACTTCAGTGTGAAAGTTTCATTCCTTGTTTATGAAGCCAATGGTTCATTCTGTTAATTATGTTATACATAAAAATAAACCATATCTAAATATATTTTTAAAGAGTGTTATTCTTATTTTAAAAACATACTTTGTAGTTTTGATTAAACCAAAAGTAGAGCAAGGAAAGCTTTTCTGTGTTTATATTTTCTTAATGATTTTGCATATCTCAGTGTATCGAAGTTTGGTGCAAAGTTTGTTTCTTAAACTATAGCTTTGTATTTATTATGCTTAAATTTACTTTATGATAATTTAAATATTTAGTTGAAAGAAGGTGTCATTTTCCTTGCTTCTAAAATATAACTAATGCTGTCATTTTTTTTTTTTTTTTTTTTTTGGTTTTTTTTTTTTTTTATTCAGGGTGGCCCTTTTTCACATTTCCTTTTTTTTTTCCCAACATGTTTTTTTTTTGTTTTTTGTTTTTTGTAGAAAGCAATTTGGAAACTATTATATTGATGTGTTAGGGCTCTGAGTTTTATATAAAGCTTATAGTTTTCAAAATTGTGTTTAAAAAAGACATAAGACTAACAAGATAATGTAAATTATTTAAATTTCTGGTTTATTCCTTTAAAAAAAAAATAGAGGCAGAGTCTTGCTCTGTCACCCAGGCTGGAGTGCAGTGTTGTGATCATAGCTCACTGCAGCCTTGAGCTGCTGGGCTCAAGCAATCCTCCTGCCTCAGCCTCCCAAGTAGCTGGGACTACAGGTGCACGCCACTGCACCCAGCTAATTTCTGCAGTGTCAGTTTCTACAGTGTAGTTACATAAAGATAAATGCACAGAAATATCACATTATTAAAGGCAGCATGCTGATATGATGTATCCTTTTCTAGAATTGGAAATTCCAGAAAAGTCCATTGATAACCAAGTTCTAGAAAACAACAGAGGCCAGAGAACATTGCATCAAACCCCTTGTGGCTCAGAACAGAATCGGAAAACAAGAACAAGCTTTGCCACAGATGGTGGCGTCTCCCAGAATTCTGGGGCTCCAGTGAGTGACTGGAGTTCTGATGAGGAAGAAGGGAGCAAAGGAAGATCCAAGTCCAGATGCACATCCACCCTCTCCAGTCACACATCTGAGGAAGGGGTCCAGTGTAGCAGGATGGGGAGTGAAACGTATCTGACAGCATCTGATGACAGCAGCTCTATATTTGAGGAAGAGACTTTTGGCATAAAGAGACCAGAACATAAGAAGCTATATTCTTGGCAGCAGGAGGCACAGTGGAAAGCTCAGAATAGCCTTCTCGGAAAGGGAAATTCTGAATCAAGTAAAAAGGAGCAAGACAGTTCCTCGGATGAATTGAACAAAAAATTTCAGTCTCAGAGACTCTATTCATCTTCATCGAGTGAGGCCAACACCCCAAGCCCTATTTTGACCCCAGCTTTAATGCCAAAGCATCCTAACTCATTCTCTGGAAAAGGAACACAATTAGTGCCTTCATCACACCTGCCACCCCCAAAGTTAAGGATTCCTAATGTTTTCAGTATAAGCGTAGCACTAGCCAAAAGACACTTAAGCCAGCCACAGTTAAGCTCCGACAGGATGTTTGGTACAAATAGAAATGCTATAAGCATGATACGACCACTGAGACCTCAGGAAACTGATCTTGATCTAGTTGATGGTGACAGTACAGAAATCTTAGAGAATATGGACACAAGTTGTGATGATGGATTATTTTCCTTTGACTCCTTGGACTCTCCAAATTCAGATGATCAGGAAAACTGTGACTCAGCAAAGAAGGCAGGGTGCAGCAAACCTCCAACTCCTCCCCTGCACCGTTTTCCTTCTTGGGTAATTATTTTGCTGCACATAACACATACACAGTGGTTTTTTCTCAACACTCATTTTCTTTTCTTTTCTCTTTTTTTTTTTTTTTTTTTTTTTTTTTTTTTTT